TTCTTGTCCTCTATTCCAATTGACTTCTTGTGTCCCGATGGAGATGCATCATCTTTCGAAGCCTCGGACTTGGTTTCAACTTCTTCAAGTATGTATTCAACTTTATCAGGCAAAGACATTCTAGAAAGCTCTTCTGGTGCTTCAATTATGTTGGTGAACTGAGTGAAAAAAGGAAATTAGTTTGACTTAGACATAATATGTATAAAAGTTGTAGATAATTTGTATTAAATTGTCTGCTCATAAGTAAAAATCATTTACCTTGATCCATGCTGGTTTGATCATTCTATCTTCAATTGTAGATAACCATATCTTGTCCTTACTAGCTGACCAGCTAAGTATGCGAGGGATAGAATTAGCAACCCTTGTAGCTATATCAGTGTTGACGGTAGAGCAACACTCATACAACCATATTTCATAGCTAGTGCAAATCCTCGAATGAGATAAGAATGAACAGAAGGATTGAGCTTGTGCCTAACAGATTGAAGCAACTGTTTGTAAGAATCAATACTCCATGCGTAGATCGCATACTGTCCCGAGTCCACCAAATAAAACCTAAAATGGTCTACCAACCCTACATTGTCTTTGTCTGAAGGACAGAGGAAGAATTCTATGAGATATAGAATACACAACTTGACTGCATCATCGTCGTTCAACCAACTTTTGGTGGTTACAATTTGTTTTAAGTATGACTTCTCAACTTTTTCCTTGTTTGGAAAATAGCTTATCATCATTTTACTGTCATATGTAGGTGTGTAACCAAAGTCTGTCACTTCCGTAAAACATTTTAGACCAGTTATCAACGCAAACTCTCTCAAGCCAAAATTCAACCTCTAACCATTTATCTCTGCTGAAAAATAGTCAGAACCAGATGCATTCAATTCATACTTTATTAGAAGATGAATTGCTTGATTTTGCATACATATTCTGGGCAATGAAAGCAAATAACCAAAACATATCTTCTTGAAAAGCTTTAAACCATTTGCAGACAATAAATCTTTGATTTGGTCAGGAATAGTGGGGTCCTAACGACCCCATAATCAACATTATGAGGTGCAAAAGAAGGTCCATTTTGGAGCAAAAGAAAAAATTCCTCATTAAAACAAGGCTCAAACCTAAAAAATAAACTATCTACATTTTTTATACAATATAGCTACAATTACATAATAGAGTCAAAAACAGATAAAAATATAACTAAAATTTTATTACCAAATTTCTACAATCTTTAAACAGAGTCAAAACAAGGCAAACATTTATATAAAAATGTATCGACAATCATGAATTATAAATCTACAACATATCTACACAATATAGACAAAATTTCTACAAACTACAAAATCGAACATTATATAGGTTCATAAGAATGAAAATAAATTTTTTTAGCTTTTACCAAAATTTATTTTTGAAACTAATAAATTCTTACTTCACCAATGACTGTTGGGGAACAGTTTTAGTAGATTTATGAACTTTCTTCTTTTTTGAAGCTTTTACATTAGAAGACACTCTAACTTTTTTTGCAACTTTAATGGCAGCTTTTTCTTCGACGAAATCATCATCGAAATCAATCTCTTTGCCTTTCCTTTTCGCAGATTTGACAGGTATCGAAGATTCTCCAGCATCAATATCGTGCTTTTGCTTTGTTCGAGCTTCTGCCCTAGCTTCACGAGGGGAAAGCTTGGGCTTGTTCTCTTCTTTTGCATGAGCTGATTTTGAAGCCTTTTTGGGTGAATTTGCTGAGAAAACACCCAAATTAAATGAAGGAATATCTGTTTCTTTGTCTTTTGTAGGGCTGTTCTTTGAAGATATCTTCTTCTTCATTGAAAATCAAGCTAATCAGAGTCTTTAATGGAGGTAGGAATTTTGAATAAGAGTCCCAATTTTGTCTGGCTTTTGAAGAAGAGATGAAATAGGCGTTAATGGAGGATTTCTGAGATTTGTGAAGAGAAAATCGTGGGTGAGTGCAAGATACGTGGATGGGGTGGGGTGGGGTGGGGGTGGGGGATGTGGAGAGAGAAACGTGAGGGTGGGGTGGGAATATACGGTAGAGTTATTTTAGGACAGTAAATAATAGGAATGTAGAAATTCCTTTTATAAACTAAGTTAATTGATTGGGCTGGCCCATGAACCTAATAAATAGCCTTCTCTTCACATGGGATTAGTGTTAAAATGTCATGGTATAGCCAGTTTTCACACTGGTCAATGAAAAATAGCCAGCGTTTATCAAGTCAATGAAAAATAGCCACTATTTTGCTGCAACAGGGACCGGTCCAGTATAATATACTGGAGTTCTGGTGCATTTGTGTACGAACTCCAGCATATTATGCTGGACCGGTATACTTTGCTAACTCCTGTAAAATTTGCGGGAGACTGGAGCACCAGTGCTCCAAACTCCAGTATATTATACTGGACAATTATACTTGCTGGAACTCCCGTAAAATTTGCGGGAGTTCCAGCATAACTATGCTTGAACTCCCGTAAAATTTGCGGGAGTTCCAGCATAGTTATCCTGGAACTCCCGTAAAATTTATGGAGTTCAAGCATACTTATGCTGGAACTCCCGTAAAATTTGCGGGCGTATTTTTTCGGATTTTGAACAGTGTTTTCGCTCAGATTTAAAGTGGCTAAATTTCGATGACTTTTGAAACTTGGCTATTTTTCAACGACCAGTGGTAAATCTGGCTATTTTTGAATTTCTCCCGGGATTAGTGGTATAAAATTGTAGGGATTCCAAAAGTTGTTATGATGGCATCCTAGAAATCATACAGACTAACACTAGTCCATGAAATAGGAAGCAAAATTTGGTAGCGTGGTTATGACTGTCAATGGATAAATAGGATGAGATTATAATTTTATGCAAGTTACGCCGAACATTAGAATAATACTTAAGATAGAAATAAACTTGGAACAAAATGCGAGTCATACTAAGTTCAAGTCGAATATAGCACAACGTGCTTGAAAATGAATATACTTTTTTTATACGACTTATTGTCATTGCTGTCTATCTGAAACTGTAAGAATATACATGCGTTAAAATACTTTCAGGTGCTTTTACATATATAGTTTACGTATGAGTTTTTTTCAACTTACCCATGAGTTCATAAGGTCGTTCATTATTAGTTAGTGGGGATAGTCTTTCAAATGCCATTTATGAATATTTCACAATGTTACATTTTGTTTTAATTTTATTGTTTATTGTGGTGGTTTAATCATAAAGGAAATGCAACTTTTTCTAGCTCAAAGAAGGGGGAATGTAATTATTGAAGTGATTAAGAAAAGAATAAAGCAGTAAAAGGCATCTTTGGGTAGTGTTTATACATAAAAAAAAAAAAAAATAGTGTCTGCTTTAACCTTTTAGCTCCAGTTGAGTGTGTGGACTATCTTTGGATCCTCACATGCTTCTTTTCTCCTCATATAAGAAGAATGGAATGCCTTAAAAGATCACAAGATCCAAGTAAGGCATTTTCCTTTTAGCTCAAACTTAAAGATTTTCCCTTTTTAAATTCTCTCTTCTTTCTTTTAGTTTTTTATATAACCGCACTGTCCGGATCAGCTTGCGCACATCTCGACTAATTCCACACGGTAACTACTACCTTCCACCAGCATAGGTATCTCTGTCCACAAAGTATTGGACAGATGAGAAAAGATCACCTTATTTTATTTTCTCTATGTTTTGGTAATTGTTGTAAGATTTAAGTTATGTAAACTATCAGTGTAAAAAATTCACACTATCAATGTATTTTAACATGTTGTACCTGATTACCAGTCTTATTTTGCAAGTTAGTAAATCTACTTGTTAAAGATGATTATTTTTTATGTGACATAATAATCATTGGGGTTAGAATTAGATGGCCACCTGCGAAAGTTGAACTCTTGCCTATAGGCTTGAGCTTTAAAGCAGTTAGAGACTTAACTCCCGTTGGGGTTACCCAATCATAGCTCTCAAGACGGTAGGCTTTTTGCCCTTTAAATACTTTCTTGCTATTCATATCCTTTTTAAATTTTATAAAAAACATAACAATAACATTAACGTGTATAGAATAAACATCGGGTCGACATCTAGAATGTTCTCAGTTTCTAGCTTAAAGTAGCAAATAAAAGCTAAAAGAGAAAAAGAGCGTGGAACAAATTAACCAGCAGACTATATCTTAATCCAAAAGTGTATGTTTGACACCATTAAGAGAGGCTCAACAGTCACTTTTAGCCAAGTTTCCTACGTTGGTATGAAGTTTGAACAATAGGGAACAATATGACATAATAAGTTGGAATGTTGTTACAAAATATTTCAATAACTTAACATAAATATACTATCAATATAAAGAATTTATCAGTGTATTATATTAGGATAATTTATCTGTTGTTTCCTTTGCTTCAGTTGGCTGTTGTTACTGCTTTTCTTTTCATAGCTTGTCCACTACCGTATTTCTTTGTCATAACTGATGTGATTATGTTTTCATTGAGTCGAGGGTCTATCGTAAATAACTTCTCTACCTCCACAAAGTAGGGGTAAGTTTTACGTACACACTACCCTCCCCAGACCCCACCTGTGGGATTAAACTAGGTATGCCGTTGTTGTTATAGACATTAATATAGGGTGTACAAATGTTCTATAACATACAAGTTAAACTCATATTTGAACCTAAATTTACATGGAAGTGAACTAACTTTGGTTTTTTCACTAAAAGATTGCAATCTTCATGTTCAAGCAGACATTAACAAATTCATTCTTCTTCTATAGTTTTCTCCTTTTATTTTCCTTCACTTCTTCTTTTCTCTGCATATCACATTGAACTACTAATTTGTTATCTACTTTGCCAAAACTTTATTCCTTTCCCTCCATTTCTGTTTCATAGAATCTTTCCTCTACAACTATTCAACAGCTTCTTCATCAAATCATTCTTTTCTTGTAGAATGCTCCTTAATACTACACACAAAAAAAACACAAAGTTGTTTACTTCCTTTAGCTTACTACTGTCTTTGTTAAATATTAGAATCTGGTTACTTGAGAGTTGAGTTTAAGATATCTTGAAAGGAGTTATTTCCTAGTTGCAAAAAAACAAGAACAAAAAGGGTAGAATGAAGCTAATAGTAGAAGTAATAGATGCTCATGATCTTATGCCCAAAGATGGTGAAGGATCAGTCAGTCCATTTGTAGAAGTTGATTTTGAAAACCAACTTAGCAAAACCAGAACAGTCCCAAAGAATCTCAACCCCATTTGGAACCATAAACTCCTCTTCAATCTTGATGATATAAGAAATTACCAATACAAATACATTGAAGTTTCAGTGTATCATGAGAGAAGGCCTATACCAGGAAGAAACTTTCTTGGAAGGGTGAGAATTCCTTGCTCAAATATAGTCAAGAAAGGAGAAGAAGTTTATCAAAGATTCCAACTTGAAAAGAAATGGTTTTCTTCATTTGTTAAAGGAGAAATTGGCCTCAAAATATATATTTCATCAGAATCTGATCCAAATTCACATCCTCAAAAATCTTCTAGTCCTTCAAATATTCCTTCCACAGAAAATCCAGAACATTTAGATAATCCACCAGCTTCTCTTCTAGCCTCTGAAGTTGCTAGTCTTGATACTCCTAAAGGTAGTAGTAGTAGTCCAAAACTAGAAAATGAAAACACTGTCATTTCTTCTAGCTTTGCTTCAGTAGAAAAACCTGGTCATCTTACTCAAAGTGAGCAGGGAAAAGAATCCTTTAAGCATATTGAGGAAAGATCTCAGTTTATTTTCAAGCATCAAGCTATGCAGCAGCCAGTCATACAAATAAGGAGGAGACCAGGCGTCCAACCGACAACGCAGCATCAAGTAGACCATCACCCCCGAGCTATTCATAACCACCCAAGTGTCCAACCAACAATGCAGCATCAAGTAGACCACCCGCCAGCTATTCATCGCCACCCAAGTGTCCACCCAACAATGCAGCGTCAAGTAGACCACTCGCCATCTATTCGTAGCCACCCAAGTGTCCAACCGACAATGCAGCATCAAGTAGACCACCCTGACGATGAGTATGAGCTGAAGGACACGAATCCTCAGCTCGGTGAGCAGTGGCCACGTGGCGGAGTATATGGAGGAGGAAGAGGATGGATGAATAGTGATAGATATGCAAGCACATATGACCTTGTGGAGCAGATTTTTTATCTATATGTTCGAGTTGTCAAGTCGAAAGATCTTCAACAGAGTGTCCTCACGGGTAGTTGTGATCCATATGTGGAAGTGAAGCTGGGAAATTACAAAGGAAGGACAAAGCATTTTGAGAAGAAAATGAATCCTGAGTGGAACCAGGTATTTGCTTTCTCTAAAGATCGAATTCAGTCTTCAGTTGTTGAAGTTTTTGTGAAGGATAAAGATATGATGGGAAGAGATGATTATCTTGGAAGGGTGGTTTTTGACTTGAATGAGGTCCCAACAAGAGTTCCTCCTGATAGTCCCCTGGCTCCTCAATGGTACAGACTGGAGGATCGCCGAGGAGAAGGGAAAGTAAGAGGGGAGATAATGCTTGCTATTTGGATGGGAACACAAGCAGATGAAGCATTTTCAGATGCCTGGCATGCAGATGCTGCCTTTGTTCATGGAGAGGGGGTTATGAGCGTAAGGTCTAAAGTTTATGTCTCTCCAAAACTTTGGTACCTGAGAGTAAATGTTATTGAAGCTCAGGACATCATCCCAAATGACCAGAGCCGCCTCCCTGAAGTTTTTGTGAAAGCCCAGGTGGGAAATCAGGTGCTCAAAACCGATATATGCCCTGCTCGAACAGCAAATCCAATGTGGAATGAAGATTTGGTTTTTGTAGCCGCTGAGCCTTTTGAGGAGCAGCTAGTCCTCAGCATTGAGAACCGTGTTCACCCTATGAAAGATGAGGTTCTTGGGAGGATAAGTTTCCCACTCAACACATTCGAGAAGAGGCTTGACCATCGGCCTGTCCATTCTCGCTGGTTCAACCTTGACAAGTTTGGTTTTGGTTCCTTGGAAGTTGACAGGAGGAATGAACTCAAGTTTTCAAGCAGAGTTCACCTCAGAGTATGCCTTGAAGGTGGATATCATGTGCTGGATGAATCAACCATGTACATTAGCGATCAAAGGCCAACAGCGCGACAGCTATGGAAGCCACCTGTGGGAATACTGGAAATTGGAGTATTAGGTGCAGAAGGGCTTCTTCCAATGAAGATGAAGGATGGCAGAGGAAGCACAGATGCCTATTGTGTGGCTAAATATGGTCAGAAATGGGTAAGGACAAGAACCATTCTTGACACTTTCAGCCCCAAATGGAATGAGCAATACACTTGGGAAGTTTATGATCCTTGCACAGTTATCACATTGGGAGTCTTTGATAACTGCCACTTGGGAGTTGAGAAGCCAGGAACTGGAGCAACACGAGACTCGCGAATTGGAAAGGTACGTATAAGATTATCAACGTTGGAATCTCACCGAATATACACTCATTCGTATCCCCTTCTTGTTCTGCACCCATCAGGGGTTAAGAAAATGGGGGAACTCCAATTGGCAGTAAGATTCACAAGCCTCTCTTTAGCCAACATGATACATACTTATGGCCACCCTTTGCTTCCCAAAATGCATTACCTTCATCCTTTCACTGTCAACCAAGTAGATAACTTGAGATACCAAGCCATGAACATTGTTGCTATTAGGCTTGCTAGAGCTGAACCACCACTTAGGAAAGAAGTTGTAGAGTACATGTTAGATGTGGATTCTCACATGTGGAGTATGAGAAGAAGCAAAGCTAATTTCTTCAGGATCAGGTCACTCCTTTCGGGCATAATGTCCATTAATCGATGGTTCGGTGATGTTTGTCACTGGAAAAATCCAGTCACCTCAGTCTTGGTTCACATCCTCTTCCTTATACTGATCTGGTATCCAGAGTTGATTCTTCCAACTCTGTTTCTCTACATGTTCCTCATTGGACTATGGAACTATCGTTTCCGGCCAAGGCACCCTCCTCACATGGACACTAAGCTTTCATGGGCAGAAACAGTGCACCCTGATGAACTTGATGAAGAATTCGACACGTTTCCAACATCTAGGCCCCCGGACGTTGCTCGAATGAGGTATGATAGGCTGAGAAGCGTGGCCGGAAGGGTTCAGACCGTGGTCGGGGACATAGCAACACAAGGAGAGAGGCTGCAGGGGGTGCTAAGCTGGAGAGATCCTAGAGCAACCAGTTTGTTTATCATGTTCAGTCTTTTTGCAGCAGTTTTGCTTTATGTGACTCCCTTTAGAGTGGTGGCTTTAGTTGCTGGATTATATATGCTAAGACATCCCAGGTTCAGAAGCAAGATGCCCTCTGTTCCCGGCAACTTCTTCAAGAGATTACCAGCTAGAACAGATAGCATGCTATAAGCTCAAAATTCCAGCTTTTCATTTCTTTCTTTTCTTTTCTTTTTCCGTCTGTATTTCCCAAATAATAATTTCATGTTTACTCTTTTTTATAACTTGCAGTCTTATGTAAACTTCCAAGCAAATAGATGACTTTATCCTAGATTAAGCTTTCGGTCACTATAATCGGTGAGAAGACTAACTACACTATCTTGGATCCATTGTCGATTTTGCTTTTAAATGGAAAAGAATATACGCCCCGAAAAAAGATTAAAACATGCTTCATCACGCATGTAAATAAAGAATTGACAATTAAAAGTACACTAAGATCAAAAATATATAAAAAAACTATTGGCTCCAAGAGAGCCTAAATAATGGTATCTTCTTATACATAAGAGTCACTACAATGTACAAAAAGCTAGATCTAACAAAGTATAAAGCACATAACTCTATATTTTGCTCTACACTTCACAAGGCCATCTTCATAATGCCAGGAAGGTCACTGCACCTCTTGAGCCAGACAGAAAACTTGTACAACTCGGGATTCTTACTAATGAGATTCTCCATATTTTGCTCCCTCCAGCACTATAGAGATGACAAGAAGCATGTGTTATTTGCAGCACACTTTCTTTCTTGGTGGCCTACTAGGAAGCTGGCCTTTCTATGTCTAAACTACATCACCATTGCCACAATCAAGTCATCTGATGCTGCAACCCACTATTGGACATTTGCGCATTGAGAGAGTACAATTACAGGCAAAATGAGCATCAAGCTCCTGATTCCTTCTATCAACAGCCTGAAACGCGTATCAAGCTCCAGCCCCATTGCTTAGTTTGAGGGTCATCTTGATGTTCATGGCTGCCAGTTCAGCCGCTAGATATTTGAACACATAAGGCATTGCAACAGTCTCCATTCCTTTACTTGTCCGGCAAGCAAGACAAGTTACCTTTTTGGGTTCTCTAGCAGGTGGCAGACCACTAATTTTCCGCACTTCTTCTTGCATTTTTTGTTTTGGTGGCTGGATTAGTGACGCTGTTAGGATACTTCCACATTCAGAACACACGTCTGCAATGTGATGATCTGAGCTGGTATGGAGTCTATCATGCAGCAAATATGCTGCTCCATGAGCAAGGAGTGAGTCTCGTTCCATTTCTCCAAAGCGGATACCTCCACCACGCTTTCTCCCCTTGATGGGCTGCCGGGTGACCTGGTCTACTGTTCCAGTAGAACGGACCTGTAAAAAGAAAATGACCCAGTTTCAGTATCCAACTATAACCTGAACAGATCACCTCGGAATGAGGATATAGTAAGAATATTTGAGTCTTAATTTATTCAACTGCACCTGTGGTTTTTTGTGTGAGGGGGGTGCGGGGTGTGTGTGTGTGGCGCGGCGCGGCGGGCCGGGGCCGGGGGGGGTAGGGGGGGGTGTAATGGTCTAAAAAAGAGACTTTTATTTTACACCTAGTCAAAGTTATATCCCACTTAAAGTCGAAGAAAAAAGAACAGCAGTAAAAGAGACCCAATATAGCATCAAATCTGTCAACCCCGTAGTGCATAAGATACATTTAATATTATAGTAATGAAAGACTCAAACAGGAAAAGGAAAACCATGTAGAGGAAGCATTTAAGGATCTTGGTATCATTTGTAAATCAATATTGAGCAAAAAACAAGGGGTTCTTTTCCGGTTTTCACTTTCCAACTTCCAAACTTAACAGTTCACATCAGACTTGAGCACAAGAGGTGGTTATGTAAGCAGTTATTCTCCCCTTGATGAAAACATGAATCAACGTAAAAGAGTCAACGGGGGAAGGATGAATAATCAGGATTTTATTCTAATATCAGCATGATACGAACCTGAAATTTATCGGAAACCATGTGCCGTAGCCGCTGATAATAAACAGGCCCAATAAATATTTCACAAGTCAGCTCTGTCCCATATACTCCACTATATAGTACCTCTACACCATGGTAATTGAAGCCAGAAGCTGTTAACATGGAACCAAGTTCATCCACCAGTGAACTGGATTCTGATTCTGCATCCTTCATTGAGTTAGAAAATGGTGTTGCATCGACAAACTTTCCATGTAAAGCACCTCCCTGTTTGGAGATAGCATAGAAAATAGAGTCTTCAGCATGTATGATCATCCATATCAAGCTAAAGGAACAATTTTATTCCATAAACAAGAGATGTCTTCAGCACATGCAATCATGTAGCCAGCTACTTTCACTCTGAAGACTTGACAGAAGAGAAAACAGACGTACCTTAGCAGCAATTGACTCCAATAGCATAGCAATCGTCATCCTTGAAGGGAATGCATGAGGATTAATAATAAGATCTGGCCTCATTCCTGTAACTCCTGAGAATGGCATATCAACATCAGGCCATAATTGAGAGCAAACACCCTTTTGCCCATGTCGGCTGCTAAATTTATCACCAATTACAGGATTCCTGGAGCGCCTAAAACGTATGTTTGCCTGCCCAGAAGAAGTGAGAAACGATTGTCATAAGTTGAACAATTTGAAGCTTTTTTAATGTCATGACACCAGAGTAAAATTTTTAGCTAACAGAGAGAAATGTGTACATCATGAACTAACAAGGTTTTTATTATCACAAATAAATAAATAAAAAGAAAAAAGAAAAAAACTGACAAGTAACAACAGTTGCAAAATTTGATAAGCGCAATAAAACCTTCAACCACAGCATCAAAGGGAACATCCCATACTTTAGACGACAAAAAGTAAATAGTACCACAAACCCCCTGAAGAACATGAAATTTTGAACTTCCCAGGCAGACATGAGTCACCAAGAGAATATCAACTTACCTTGATACAACGAAATAAAAAGAGATATTGACAAGGCAATAAGATGAAGAAGTTATAGCAAACAACAGAAACTTCATAAACTTGTTATCTATGTTAGATCTATGCTAAATACAAATTAAGGAAAAGTAGTGAGTTCATGAATATGGACAGTTGGTGGCTAGAGATTATGGTTTTCTTCTTTTCCCTTGTCAAGGGAGGGTGGACCACTACGACCAGCATAGTTACATCAGAAACCAAGAAACATTTGAAGTTCTCCATTGCTCAAAAGTTCAATCACAGAGACAGTGTCATTGACTAAAAGGTCTGCCCTGTAGGTTCCCGTTTGCCTTCAGTAGAACTTGGTATAAAATGCAAATCTAGTCAAGATTAGGTGATTCTCCTAGTTCTCGTAATTGATATGCTGCTGACATCTCCAGTAAAATATTGCATAAAAAGATTGAAAAAGCGTAAATTTGAGGGGTGGGGGAACAATATTAAGTTACGTACCATTGTTAGTTCAATAATCTCAGAAGCAGGGAAAAACTTGAAGCCAATGGGACACCTCAAAGTCAAAAGTTAGGTTCGCAATTAATCTGGGGGAATTTAAACCCTGAGGTTATCACAGATAGTAGTTGGGAGAACAGCTTAAACCCTGAGGTCATTCTCCTCAGCTAAGTTGTTTGCCAACAACCAACAGGATGTTGTTCGGCCATCCATTTGCTCCCGGTTAACAACTACCAAATCAATTCTCAAGCATAGGGAGTAACAACTTGCATGTTGAATCAACACCACCACCTTACAGCAAAGGGACTATGAAAAATAATTTAAGTACCGTTCCCATGATCCCCTAACTTTTCTTCCCCTCCCCTAACCAGATGCAAGTCTATATAGTACAAAATTTGAAGATACGGAATTTAACCCCAAAGATTAAACCCATTAAGTTAATGATAACCATAATTTCATCATTTCCACCTAAGGAAAGCAAGGGGCGTGAGGGAAAGAGGCGTTGATAAACTAGAAGAGCAGAACCCAATAGGATGCGGGGAAGGGTCTTGAGAAGATGGATAACTAACCATCTGAGGAAGAGTCTGAATCAGACAAGAGGAAGCAATTTCTGAGTGCCCTATAAATGCTAACATTATGGGACTATAGCACTTGCTGGCTGCTGATGATATGTTGCAGAGGTGGCAGAGGATGCTATATATACCTCTTGGGTTCCAGAATAACTCTTGGAACAAAGATAAGACAGCAATTTAAATCGTTGGAGATTCTTTTTTGATAACCGAGAAATCTCCGAGGGCCAGTAAGGCACGACTTGAAACTCAGCTGATAACGGGCCCTTCCCTTTGCCCTTCTCCATTTAAACACCAGGCTTTTTTCTGTGGCAGGGTTCGAACTTGTGATGTTTGACTAACCAATTAGTTGAAGGAGAAATTCATATGGACCAGAAGAAGCAATTCAGATCAACGTAGGATCTAAAGAGGTCCCAGGCCAGGTAAGCTATGATAGCGAACAAAAACATAAGGAAAACATGCAAAAGTTCTTCACTTACCCATCAAAAAAAGCATACAAAAGTTCTTCACTTTTTAAGCATATCAGAAGCATTATAAGACCATGATAGGACTACTTCAGGATCAGGCTCTCGACTTCACTAAATTTGGGTAGCATCCACCTTGGAGGCTCCATCAACTAAATTATTCACTTACAGATTTCATCTCTCCACTCCTTTTTTCAAAAGATTTTAGGTAAATGTTCTACCTGCCAAACCCAAATATATGGGGCTAAGGCATAGTTGTTCTACCTGCCAAAATCTTTATCCCAATATCAAAAAATCCTTGTTTTGCCTCTTCAAAGTTTATTAGATCAACCATTAGACACTGGATTACAGGAAACACAGCAATTTAAAGAACTTTAAAACAATAAGGGGATTACTCATAAACACTAGCTTTATGATATTCCATTTGATGGGACCAGGAAACTTTTGACTGTGAAACGCAGAAACGCATGTTTTAAGAAACTCCACTGGGAACGAAAGATGTATTTAAGCCAACAGCATAAGGGTTTGCTTCGCAACTCTAAGATCATTACGAGATCTAAGCAGATCTTACTTTGCAACCTAGTTTGAAGTTTAAATTGACCTAGTTGAATCCAGTTCATCTTCGTTCCCTGATTGGTAAAAGTTGCTATTATTCAGGATTTCTTTCATTGCCAAACTTATGGATCTGATCATATCTTTAAATTAATTTGCATGCCAAATATTTCATAAACATCAAAGGTGCTAAAATAATGTAACATATGGTTATATGCACATAA